CGACGCTGGGTGCGTGCGTGCATGCGCACAGTGTGCGTACGTGTGTGTGGCACGTGTGCGTGCGCTGTGTGTGCAGCGTAGCACGTGCGTGCGTGTACACGTACAGCGTGCTTGCGTGGCGTGCTGTACGTAAGACATAGGCGTGCAGCAACGCTGCGCTGTGGCGACGTACACGCTGCCGTGTGTACGTGGCGTGCGTGTGTCGTGCGTGGTGTGTGTGCACTGGCTGTGTGGTGTGCGTGCTGCCACAGTACAGCGTGGCGTTGCGTGCGTGTTCAACGGTATCACGTGCGCTGCATGCGTGTGTCAGCCTGCTAGCACGGGGTGCCCGCTGCGTGCGTTGCGCCGCGTTGTGTGTGTGTGTGTGGTGCGTGTGTGTGTGTGTGTGCTGTAATGCTGTGCTGTGTGTGTGTGTCGCGTGTGGCCCGTGTGCGCATGTGTGTGATGTGGAGGAAGGAGGTGTGTAATGTGTGTGGTGTGTGTCGTGTGTGTGTGTGTGTGTGTGTGTGTGTGTGCGCGCGTTGCGTTGCACCGTGCGTGCATGCGTGTGTTACGTACATAGGCGTGCACAACGTGGCGTGTGGGCAGCGTACACGTGCGTGTGCTAGCGTCGTGCGTTGTGCGTCGTGTGTGTGTGTGGCACGTACACGTGGCGTGCCGCGTGCGTGTTCACGTAGCGACCGTGCCTGCATGCATGTGTACGTAGCACGGTGCTGGCGTGCCGTGCGTGTTGGTGTGTTGCTGTGTTGTGTCGTGTGTGTGTGTCGTGTGTGTGTGTGTGTGTGTGTGCCGTTTGTGTGTGTGTTCGTGTCGTGTGTGTGTGTGTGGTGTGTGTGTGGTGTGGCGTGTGCGTGTGGCCATGTGTGTGTGTGTGAGGAGAGGTGTGTATTGTGTGTGTGTTGTGGTGGTGTCGTGTGTGTGTGTGTGTGCGCGCGTGTGCGTTGGTCACCGTGCGTGCGCTGCGTGTGTACGGTACAATAGGCGTGCACACGTGCGTGTGGCACGTACACGTGCGTTGGCTGTATCGTGGCGTGGCGTGTGTGCGTCGTGCTGCTGTGTGCACGTACAGCGTGCGTGCGTGCGTGTGTCGTAACGCAGGTGTGCGTGCGGTGCGTGCGTGCGTGCGTTGTGTGTTGTGCGGTGCTCGTGTGTGTGTGTGTGTGTGTGTTGTGTGTGTGTGTGTGGTGTTGTGTGTGTGCTTGTGTGTGTGTGTGTGCAGCCGTACACGTGCGTGCGTGCGTGTTCACAGTACACGTGCGCATGCTAGCGTGTGTACGTAGCAACGTGGTGTGCGTCGCGTACGTGCGCGCGCGCGTGTGTGTTGCTGTGTGTGCGTGTTGTGTGTGTGTGTGTGTGTGTTATGTGTGTGCTGCTGTGCCGTGGTGCGTGTGCGGCATGTGTGTGTGTGAGAGAGAGTGTGTGTGTGTGTGTGTGTGTGTGTGTGTGTGTGTGTGTGTGTGTGTGTGCCCGTGCGTGCGTGCGTGTGCGTGTGTGCATGTGTGAGAGAGAGAGAGAGGGAAGTGTGTGTGTGTGTGTGTGGCGTGGTGCGCGTGCGTGTGTGTGTGTGCGTGCTGTGTGCATGCGTGCTGTGTGCATGCGTGCGTGGCGTGCGTGCGTGTGCTGTGCTGTGTGTGAAGCGCGTTTACCAACTGCGTATTCCGAACAATATGCGTGGGTCAAACGGTTCCTGAGTTATCATTGACCGTAGCGAAATGTTGACGGACGGACGGACAGACGACGACCCATGGCAATAGCTCAGCTTGACGATGTCAAGGTGAGCTAAAAATTAGTGTCAGGTAACTACAGGCACTTGTATGGTGTGAGTATTTTTAAATTACATTCTTGCGAATCTCAAGATAGCACGCATACATTTGCTATTCACTTAATGTTTTATGGCCCATAACAGCACAAACTCAAAATAATTTTCAAGCTGAAGTGATCAGTACTACCCTAAAAGGTGAGACTAAGTTTGTCTAAAATTATTCGAAGAAGAACCAATTTAACAAGCCACTCATGTTTTTCTCCCTTTGGGTATATCTTCACACCCTATTACAATAATTCTGACCATGCCAATTTATATTATCTAAAGTATAAGCAAGGGTAAAGAAAATGGGAAGGCTTGCAGTTTCTGCATTATTAGTTATTTCTGTACTTACTTCGTTTTTCTCCAGCTTGTTCTGGGCCTCTATTTGTGTGACTATCTCATTCATGTTGGTCTCTAAAACCATCCCACCCATCACAACCTCGGATAGAATGTACTGCACCTAGAAAACAATTTGCATCTGAATATTTAGTCAAATTTACAGCAACAAAAAGCATGTTATTATGGTTCTCTCAGCTTATAAAATAACATAGGCCTAATAAATTTGATTATGTATGCATAATGTATGCAAATGATCGTGACCATGATGTAGGCATACATTTTTAAGTCAGCTAAATTAGCAGGAAAACACGTAAAGTTTGTAACATGTGAGGAAGTGACTGTCTATTGTCACTCTATTATTTGCCTCATTTTTATATGAAAATCAATGTCAGTAATGTAGTATCCAGTTTTTTATTTGAGATATAGCAATCTCACTAGCACAGCAGTTCTTCAGTTTCCTAGCTTATTTATAATAACAAGATTGATAAGGAAAACAACATTGAGGTTACATCATAAATGTCAGTATACAGGAACCAAGTAACACTAAATGTTATATTTAATATTTTTTTATTTTTGACCAATAATATTAATTTTGGTAAGGAAAAACTTCATTACGGTTACATCCTAAATGTCAGTATGCAGGAACTGGGTAATAAAAATTATTTACCTTGTCTACATGAAATATTAAGTCCAATTCACAGACATTTTCAAAACACTTGTCTAAAGTTTCCACAAACACCTGAAATAAAACAAAATGATTTGCACCATTAATTTAAGAAATAATATCTACTCATCCCCTCACAAAATAACCTATTAAACAAGTGCCGCAGCGTGTATGTGAACACATTTGGGACTAACAGGGTTTACTAGAATCCCACCACTCCACCACAGAGTCACCGCAGTAGACGTTAGATGAGCGCTGTCGCTTCGTGGCAACTTTCATAACGATCCCAACGAACATTCTTTTGAGAAGGTTCCTGATACCATCCCTGTGCATTCCACTGTTTCGGGATGGCGCGTACGTTTAATAGTTGTTGCTACTACGTATGATGGGAGCTTCCATGTTTAATCTGAAGACACTCT